CATTCTATGATTGGTATTTTAAAAACGAAAGTTTTACATTGCATTATAGACTTAGCTCGTCCTAAAATTCATTAATTTTTATATGTTTACTATATTTTATTGTGCTTTAAGTGCTATAAAGTCTGTCTTATTTGTTCCTCTTCACCATTTGGTTATACATAGAGTCAACATTTCCTTTAAGTTCCTTGAACTTGTTGAATAAAAGTCAAGAAACATTGAAGAAAACAATACACCCTTTTGAATACACTTGGATGAAATGAATCTTGTATTTATTAAAGTGGATAGCCCTCTTATGGTAATGTATGGAGTATGAACATTGTCTTAATTTTACCTGATTTTGTAAAAACACTAGAATGTGATATTAAGTTTCCTTAATGATATGATCATGCTTGATTTTAATATAAACTTTGAAAGAGCATTGTCAGCTGGGTTGTTGTAGCCTTCACCAAGAATCTCTCTAATTTCCCTGTGAGCTTTACCTGGGTGGCTGATAATGTAATATATGGTGGTACTGTACCTTTGTCACCTGTGGCACTGAGTGACATGTTATTGTAGCAACAACCCCACTGCCATGCCTCTTTGTTTAGATTGATCTGTTATTAAGATTAATCCATCAATGAATGAACAAATCTACCAGTCTAGGTAGGTTACCTGCATAAACTTAAAACTTTTAAAAGTGTTGAGTACTCTGTACAGTGTACTGTAATCTTGTTGTCAGTGTATTTAAATTAGGGAGTTTTGTAGGTAGTCTGCTCTCAGTGGTGTCTTTATCAATGTACATTTTTAATAAAATTGATATTTATATTTAAGTATTTGTATAAGAATATTCCTCCATTTTCAGCATTGTGCTGTACAGATACGTATTTATAAATACAGAAGGTTCGTATATGTATGAGTATGATTTTTTCTCTCACTTTCTAGAAGCTCATATTACAGGTTGGGTATCCGTTATTCAACTTGGGGTCTTAAGGGTTTCGGATTTGGGAATACCTATATCCTGTATACAGAACCTGTATAATGCGGTAGCTCACCCAGCAGGGATGGGGCCCAAGTCCATGCACAAAATTCATTTTATATTTAATTTGCGGCATAAGGATACATATATTCTGCGGGTAGTTTTATGAAAGATAATTTTATCATTTTGGGTATAAAATATATGATAAGACGTATATTAAGACCCAGAAAGGTAAGCAATCAATACCGTCTGTTTGGCATCGGCATGACGCCTGACTCTGAGGCGCTAAGCAGCCTGTGTTTTACCTTTATTCATTACACATACATACTTATCCTCGTAAAAATTATGATATATGCCATAGTCAGTGTATTGTCTACCATAAATATAATGAAATATACCTTCGGATTACAGAGCATTTTGGACTTGGGGATTTTGGATAAGGGATACCCAACCTGTACTGTAATTGAAAATTATTGAAGTAAGTTTACAGGGCTGTAAATGGAGAAAAATGGAAGCTAGTTATGAAAATTATGATGGATATTAATTACACTAATAAGTTCCGAAACCACTTGGGGATGTGGAACAAAAGTCAATAAAGGAAAACAATATGACTTTGGGTTTATTTTTCTAATATTGGAGTCACGCATTTAATTACTTTTGAAATTGGAAGAGCAATGATATGACTGAAAAGGAATAATGTAATTTGGAAGAAAATAGTTATTTTGAGTGAGGTTGTTAAGAGTGTACTGTATGTGAAATGCCAGGGAAAGTTTGTGACTACTGTATTGGCAAAAGGTGCTGTAAAAGTCCTTATCTGCCAAGTAATTCAGTGGAATTGGTGGTCTTTCCGTTAAAGGAAATATGTACAGTAAAAAGTAGGTCATTGTCACTACCCAGGCTTTATACAATCTTCTTTTCTCCAGTAACACTCAGCCAACTTCATCATTCCACCACCATGTTACTGCATGCCTGGCTGGGCATCTTGCCATATTACTCTTCTCACTCTCACTTGATGTTTCCACTCCTTTTAACTCAGCATCAAATGCTTCTCTTACATTTTGTTCCTTCAGTTTTCACACAATCCTTCTCAAAACATAACACCTTCCTTTCCCTGCACCTTTTAAATATGATGTCGCACACAGCTATAAAAGTTACATCCCTAACAAGCTTCCCATCTAATTTCATAACGAGTAAATGAATAATCTGTATTTTTGTTCCACCTAGCTCATATCATACCTAATCAGCCTATTCACCCTCTTCTTAAACAATGTGTTGCATACAACCATGTTCATTGCATCCTGAACTCAAGCATTCTTTCTCCTTCCATATTTTATGTGCTGTAACCTTTTTGCACCATGCATACCTTCATAACCCTCTGTTTGTGCCCCCGACAAGACTGTTTAGGTTACCTCTCAGTACTGTATTACAATCTCTCTTTCACCACATGCAACAACTTTCCCAGAAATCATCCTTCATGTCACAACTTGTGGGGCAAATGCAGAAATGACAGTCATCAAATCCATTCCTACTACAGTACTGTAACAACTCAAAAACAACAGTTCTTGCATTCACCCTTTTCACTTCTAGTACTGTCTCCAACCACTTTTTCTTGACTAAGATCCTTATACCACCTGTTCCAGATTGATTCCCCTTCCAGAATATCTTGTAGCTCTCATTCTTACCAGTGATCATCCTTGCTGAGCCACTTCATTTCTTGATAGCAGACATTGAGCTTTCTATGGCTCAAAGTCTCCATAATATCACCTGCTCTTTCATGCATCACACATTCAGACTACTATCTCTGAACCCAACTATGCCGAGTTCATTCTTTTTTTATCACTTGCAGTTCCTTGTGGCATTCATTCGTGTGGTGTCTGGGTGGTTTTAGTGTGGCAGGTTTATGTTTATTCATTGTACAGGTAATGTTTGTCATGGTTGGTATTAAGAGTTGGGTAACAACCAAATCTAGAGGTAACACCCCCCGCCCCCCCCCCCCTCTTATTCCCAACTGCAAACCTGGGTATTGTATTGGCACTCTTGGGTGACTTGTTGTTCAGTGGCCTCAGGGTGACCCACCACAACTATCTCCAGGGACACTCATCCATGCACATCATGGAGCAGCCTCTCCGGGCACTATCTCTGAGTTTAGGGAAAGCCAGCCTGTGAAATGCTCTCCAACCCAGAAAATGCAGCTGAGACCAAAGAATGGGTACAGCTCTGGTTGACTAGCTGCCACCAAGCATGTTGAAGCCAAGTTTTACAGCTGAATGCCATTCCTATTGCCAACCCACAAGGTGGAAACAGCTGGTTAGTTAGAGTTGCAACTCTGAGGTAATCTGAGACTACCTGTACCCACTTACCTGCATATAACAAATATTTTATGGCTTTTTTTTTATTATTTTCATGCTTGGAAATTTGAGAATGATTTTACCATTTTCTATTTTAGGTAACGCGTTCATTTTGACCTTGGGTTACAGATAATTGTTTGTTGGAATTCATTGAATCATTAGTTAAAGTTTGCGCAACAGGAATACAGTATATGCTTGCCTAAATCATCAAATCAAACTCACTTGAGTTGGTTGTTTTCCTTGGATGCCAATCTTAAGGACATTGTATCATCATATGCCTATATCCTGTATTAGTCACTTCCAGGATAAACTAACTATGCTTTCAGACTGTGTGGTGCTGGGAAGTTGGTAAGGTTAAAATCTTGACACTTAGTTTTGTTTTACCAGTCTTTTTTTACCTTGTTGGGTGAGAGTTGCATGAGCAGATGGAGATTATTTTTTCCTTATGCCTCCATTTATCTAGCAGGCTAAAGATATTTGAACAAACTCAATCTGGCTTTTGGTTATAAATGAGGAATTGATCATGAAATCCTGTTTATAACCCAGTCTAGATTGGGTTACTCTGTTACATTCCTTCCTCCCAATTGATGACAGGTAAGCTGGAACTGAGGGTTAGTAAGTGAGCCACAAGGGGTGAGAATCAGTCTTCTGGTTTATGTGGTAACTTTTTATAACCTTCAAGTTTTGTTCTAAGTGATCGAGTATGATGGGAAGTAATTAACTAATGTGTTATTAGTTTTATTTACCATTATCAGCATGGAATTCAGTTTGACGATACACGGGTTACCCAAACCAAGCCCAGTTATGAAATGGGATTTCAGGATCATTTCCTCATTTTTCAGTTACTGCAGGTATCTCTCACTATGTGAATGGGTTAGGTTCCTTGAAAACTATTTGTTAAGTGCATATGCATATAGCAAATAACTTAAAATATTGGAAATCACCCAGTATTATACCTAAAACCTCAATATTATACCATAAAAAAAATTAAATAAAAAAAAACCTACCTAACTACTACACAGTAAGTTAGTACCTGTACCTAATTATTGTACTGTAATTTAGTGCCACACAACAAGTAAACTCCGATATTGTACCTAAAAAAGTGAAATTGTTTCATGAACAAAAAAAAAATACTTAACTACTATAAATTTCTACAGTACCCAGCTACCATAATTTTGTACCTAACTACTGCAATTTAGCACCTAACGCATTAGAAAAATAATAAAATATAAATTTGGGCTGAGTAAGGACCATCCATCATTCATATAAGCAAGAATAGCTTTTGTATACTGTAGTAAGAAAGAGTCATAAAATACTGTACAGTATTCATATACTGTAAGCGAATATACATAGAGCCAATGTTCATATAGTGAGGGATACCTGTATTGATATTTATGCAACTACTCCCCTGTACAGTACTGTGTGAAAGAACTTTTGGGAGGCTTCCCAAGAAATTATGGGAGGGTAATAGGATACCATGGTTAGGAAAAATGGACAATGAATCACTTTTACCATACTTTTCCTTCATGTATTTATGATAACTCTTTTTGGAATTACAGTATAAACTATGTCAGAGATGTTACTATTTCTTTGAAAACTACTGATACTGTACATGAAGGGACTAAAGGATTATTTTGCCCTTTGATAGTTATTTTTGACAGTTAGTTGTCCCTACAGGTACGGCTCCTAACAGCACGATGTCCTTCGGGCTACAAAACTTCCTCAGTTCCCCAACTGTAGAACCTGTTCCCTTGCAACAAAATCTACATCCTACTCAAGAGATGGTTAACGAGGATTTACATGGTGTAAGGGTATTGAAGGTATGTGAAGAGTGTGGTAAGACATTTAACAAAACTCCAGCATATTTGGAACATGTAAAGTCGCACAAGCTGTTACAGCATTGTCAGAAGTGTGACTTTAAGACCAAGGATAAGGAGAGATTCAAGTTGCATATTATCTCCCATCAAAATGATAAGTTAAAATTGAGATGTAATATTTGTCATGAGCTCTTTGTTAGTCCCATATCTCACAGAATCCACAAGCGGAAAATTCACAAGCTCTATGAATGTAGACAATGTTCAACTGACTTTACCTCGGAGGATGTTTGGAGAGAACACATTTTTAAAGAGCACAGTAAAAAGGGGGGGAATATTAATACTGACCATGGAAAGAATGAAACCAACAAATTAGTCGGTCCTCAAGATCAGAAATTTAACTCCCCCGATAAAATGCAGCTGATTTGCCGTCTATGTAATAAGGGAGCCAGAAACAAGTACCAGTTAAAGATACACATTGCTCAGCACCTTGGGGTATCCAGTGATAAGATAAGTGATGATAATCTCATTACAGACATTAAACCGTTACTGTGTGAAGGAAACGTTTCTTCCTCAACACATAATGTACAAGAAGAGGGTGGCCAAACTATGACACCCAAAGATTCTATAGACTCAGTCCTTCAAAACTTATTATCAAATGATAGCATTACTATCTCAACCCCCCAGACTAACAAGTTAGTTGTACCTGCCCCTATACATTCAGGGCCTCACTTGAGTGATGTACAAGCCAAAGAGGGAGATTCAGTTTCAACTACTAGTGAAAGTTCAATTTTAATTCAAAAGACAAACTCTTTATCGTCAACATGCCTACAGGATGTAATTATTGAAGAAGATCCACGGGAGACAGATATTACTGTGAGGGATACTAGTAAGTTTCCAAGTAAACTTGCACCATACCATAAAAAGAAAGGAACATCACAACGACGACTGAGGACCCTCATACCTTGTAATCATTGTTCATCAGCATTTACAACTAACACAGCTCTACGTAACCACAAGAAGCTGAAACACATGAAAAGACCAGAGTGTCCAGAATGTAATATAACAAAGACCAGTAGTAGGAAAGTCTTTCAGCACCAGATTAAAGCTCACAGAGATAAACTACGTTGCAACTTTTATTGTTTAGCTTTATTTGATACCCGGGAGGAACAATCTGTCCATCACTTAAATGTACATAATAGGGATGACTCAAAAAATGTGTGTCGATATTGTAGAATGGAGTATCCAAGAGGAACATATGGAAAGCATCAAGAGGAATGCAAAGAGGTTCCTGAAGACAGAAAAGTCATATCTTGTAAGTTTTGTGATAGAAAATTTTACTCAACTAATACTTTTCTAACTCATAACAAAGATTGTGGATCCTGGCAAACAGAAGAGAAGGAAAGTAATCCACCAACAGACCAAGTAAAACCTTTACCATCAAAAACAGAGTTAGGTGCAGAAACAAATGCAGGTACACCAATCAAAGTCTCTGATGAAAGGGATAAACAGTCACTTAGTGAGGTCACTGACCAACATGAAAATGTGAGTACAAGTACTAGTTTACAAGAAAAAATATTGGAAAATCCTGATAATCAAGAGAACTTGATAAATTCACAAAACAAAAATCTGGATGCAGGCAACCATTTGGAGAAAAGTGTATCAGAATCTGGAGGCATTTTACACAAATGCAAATTTTGTTCTAATACTTTTGATAACTCTGAAGTTGGTGTTGATCATGTATTAGGTCAACATAAAACATTATTGTCAATTATGACCAAGGAACCTCAGGTTTGCCATATTTGTAGCAAGACTTTTGTGTCAAGTTTATCATACTGTAAACACATTTTAAAACATTATGGTGAACTTGGATTGTGGGATGCCATTGTGCCTGCAGATTTAGATATGGAGAATATTAGGATGAACTGTTGGATTTGTAAAACTGCAGGCATGAAATATCATAGGTATCATGTTACCACACGAGATAAAACAATTGAGAAGCTTTTGTCGAGTCAAGCAAGTGTGGAATTGGCATCAAAAGAAGGAGAAGTGTTCCATTGCTCTGTATGTGAAGAATCATTTCCATGTAGGTATGCATTTTGGAATCACATCAAAGTTCACCTTTCTAAGTCATCATTTAAAAATGCTGAAGGAGGAAAGCGTTTTAAATGTGCCAAATGTCCAATGAAATTCAAGAAAAAATCTGAACTTTTAGGACATTTGGGTACGCACCTTCTTCAGTCAGATGTAAAAGAGAATCGGCTGCAATTGAAAACTGGAAATAGTAATAATGATTGTAAATTGGGTGAAGGAAATAATAGAACAGCACACGGTAAGGACAGTGAGGAACAAGACAAACACGTGAATGAAAATATCTTAGCTGAAAAGGTGTCTGATTCTACTTCTTATCCCCATAAGTGTAAACGTTGCCAAAAAAGGTTTGAAAAGAAGGAGGATGGATTAAATCATATTGTGATGGCTCATAAAGTAGTTTTAAAACAAATGATGTCTGAGACGCATGCATGTCACATATGTGATAAGACATTTATGAAACCAATGGTATTATGCACTCATATATTAAAGCACTACAGTGATCTCAACATGTGGGATGACCTTGTCCCCAAGAACTTATTAGAACAAACACAGGACCGAAGATACTGTTGGATATGCAAGAACATGCTTGGCAGAAAAGCCTCAAGACATATCAATAAGCGAAACAATCATATTGAAAAGGCTTTGTCAAGTAAATTAGAAGATTTAGAAACAGAAGAAACATTCCATTGTTCATTGTGTGATTATTCTTGCTCCAACAGATATGTCTTTTGGAAACATATAATGCTCCACATGTATAAATTTCCCAAAAGGGGTAGACAAGTGGGACTACAAGCATCAACAGAATCTCCCAGTAATTCCAAATATTTTAAGAAAGGAATTCATGAGTGTAGTGAATGCCTCCATAAATTTGAAGAAAAATCCATGTTAAACAAACATATGGCAACTCATTTCCTTTTGCCTTTTGTTCAGGTAGATGGAAAATGGAAAACTGAAAGCAGTGAACTTATGGAAGATTTGAAATTAATGAGTGAGAGTCATGATAATGGTAGCCTGAAATCTGTCACTCATACAATAGCTGTTGAGAACACACAGAAAGGAAAAATTGAGTCACAATTCACTAATGTATCGAGAAAGTTTGAAGTAGCTAATGAGGAGCCAGGGGCCAAAAGTGAACTTTTAAAATGTATACGTTGCTCAAAAAGATTCAGAAATGTGGAGGGAGGTATAAAACATGTCTTGTCCTCACACAAATTCATGCTTACAAGAATTGTCAGAGAACCTCTAACTTGTACTGTATGTGGCACAGTTTTCAAGAGCCCCTGGTGTTTATGTAAACATATTTCTAATCATTACAGTGTACTTGGCATGTGGGATGCCCTTGTGCCACGAGACTTACTGAATATGATTAACCTTAGGAATCAGTGCTGGATATGTAACTGTAAATTAGATAAGAAATATGCAGATCACACTAGAAAACGAAATAGCCATATTGAAAAGTTGTTGACAGCCAAATATAACAAGAATGAAGATATATTTTACTGTTCCTTATGTAATAATAGCTCTTACCCTGACAGACTAGAGTTTTGGAAACATATCAGAATTCATCTCTGTGTACCACCTGTGCATTGTAGATCTCTTAATGAGCTTTTCAATACCACATATAGTAATAATGATGACAAAGACAAACTCCTTGAATGTAGCGATTGCTCACTAAGTTTTACAGATGAACGTGGGTTATATGATCACCTGGCAAGCCATTTCTTGGAACATTTCTCGGAACAAGATAATGGTAGCAACGTGAAAGAAGGCAAGATGCCGGAAACAGATAGCAGTGAAAATGAAGGGTGGATGACATTACCAAGAAGCCTCAGAAAGAGGAGAGCAAGCATGAACACCAGAGACACTGATTTTAAAGTGAAAGTAGAATGTTGTCTCGAGGAAGAGGATGATTATGCAATTCAGGTTTATCAAGGGGACATAGATAATGAGTTAGAAAATGAAAAGAGAGGTAATAAGATGAGGGAAGAAGAAGATGCAGATGATGAATTTGAGGACACGGGTGATGAGGTTGAGATTGCAACGGATGATGAGATTGAGATTGGAACAGATGATGAGTTTGAGATAGGTACAGAAGATGAGATTGAGTCGTGCACAGATGAAGAAATTGATGTGTGTTATTAGATGACTGTAAATGAAAGTGGGGTTTATGTATATTTTCCAAACACTTCCGTCTCTGACCATCTTCTTGCTTCAGAGCTACATTGATATACAGTACAGTATATATATATTTGCTGCATAATTCTGTATTGTTGGCTAAATTCCATTGTAAGTGCGATGATTGCTGTTTCTTGGCAATGCAGAAACAATGTGGTGTGGGAGGAAAAGGCTTCTTAAGGAATACATACAAAGATGGGAAGGTACAGTAGTAGGACAAATTCACAAGCACGGAAAACAGTCTAAGACAGGAAAAAGGGGAAAACAGCATTCATTGAAGGGACAATTATGGAGTTACTGTATAAATGTATCTCACACTTAGATTTCCATCCTCATCTTCTCTTCCATTAAGTGATGCTACAGAGTGTTTATGGCCAAAAAATAATAAAATATCATTGGAAGAAATGTAACATTCTATCAGTGGAAAAATCAGTCCCTTTGCTTTGACACAAGGACTTTGATGGGTAAGTGATGCCGATTAATATACTGTACCTATTTGTTGATAGGGTATTGACAGAGTGTATGTAAAGCTTACCAAAAATGTTTCTGAAAGTATGAGTCTTGACAAATCAATGAGCTATTCAGTATGAACAAATGTTAAATACAGTTATGTATCTGCAAGTTTAATGCTTTGTGGCTCAGTGTGCAGAAGTTCTCTATTGACTTGTGTTCAGAAACTAGGATTATGAAAAGTCAGTGAGCTATTATAGGTTGATAAAAGTTAAATATTGTACAAATTTTTGTCTTATATTGGGCTAGGAACACTCGTGCCTGGTAGCCATCCTGATAGCCATCAACTCATATGGATTGCAACCCAGACTAAATCTTAAAATTGACAGCTGGCACTTAATTAACCCTTAATGAACATATTCTGCATTAGTTGCAGTCAAAATATCTGTAGCTGCATGTTGTAATCCCCGTTCGCAAAGGGTTAAATAATAAGTGCAACCCTCTAGTTACAACCTTATTCCTCAGAGATGGGTTGGGAAGGGTAAACTAGTCAAGGCTGAGAGCTTAACAAGTCTTTGCATTACGACAGATTGTGCCTGGTAACCCTCACTTACTCACCTTGGATTTTTCAGCATCAAGCCAAAGTCCAGCAGTCTCCTCACTTGAAGCAAGTCATTCTCTGGATAGCTTCTCTTTATATACATTACTATAGAGATTAGGTATACTTCCCCTTATGTAGCACTTGGGAAACTTTAGACATCTTTTTATCGTTTATTGGACACTATAGGTAAGATAGGGGTACAGCTTTAGTCAGTAAAATTGGAGAAATATAATGAAACTCTAACAGCTAGCTGGTTTAAACAATGATCAGTTGAGGCCAAATTCTTTTTTTTTACCAGTTTACATAGCTGGAGTTTGGAGATTTCCAAATTTGAAGACGTGGATAATTTATACCTGTGCAGTACAATACTAGAAAGTGAACTGGAGTTGGTATTACTGAGTTCTTTTATGGTTGTCTTTAGCATCGGGTAAGATGGGCTTCCTTTGGATCTTATCTTACTTGGACGAACCCTAGGCTGACTCTTCAGCTCTTACGTAAGGATGAGACTTGGTTTAAGACCAGAGACGGCTACTTTTTGGCCAGGAAGAAGGATGATATATCTCATTATTCCCTCTGTGTAGTCCAAGCACTTATTGATAATACAGTAATATCCCTGATGGCCTGAATCTTTGATCCTTGGAACTTTCCAATATTGTATCCGGAAAATAAAAGTGTTCAGTTTCCCAATGATAAAAATAGCCCAATATCATATACCCCCAAAACACGAAATCGGTTCACAAGAAAGAACAAAACTTACCTAACTAATGATAAATAGTAAACAACTGCCGTACTCTAATATACTACCAATCACATAAAATTATTATTATTATTATTTTTTTTTTTTATATGGGGAATAGTCCACCTGGGCATAGGTCATCGACCCACAATGGGGCCTGGGGAGTGAAAAATACAGAAGGTAAAAACTAGGGGAGAAAGAGTACAGTAGTCCCTCGGTTAACGAACACAATTCGTTCCAGAAGGTCGTTCGTAAACCGAAAATTTCGTTAACTGAAACCATTGTATCAATGGGATTTTGGGTAATTGGTTCCTGCTCACCGAAAATTACACACAAAGTAAAAATGAATGCAGTAAAGTACACTTACTTTGCGGTGTGTATGTAGAAGGCTCCTGGTTGATGATGATGATGGGAATTAGAAGTGGGGCTGGAGGAGAAGGGAGAAGAGAAGGAAGTAGGGGTGGAAGAGAAATCACCCCATGCTTCATACTGTCATTTCACCAATAAAATTTTTAAGTTCACAAGGTGTAATTCAAGATTATTTTCTTTAAATCAACACTGCACTGCACTATATATTGTCAATATGTAAAATAAATTTCAGAATGACCAATAATTGTACTGTAAAAACGTAAAAATAGTTTATGCTCAAGAGAGCCACAAGCAAGATGTTACTTCCACTGACCAGAGATACAAACTGACACCTTTGTGGGTGAGTCAAGTGGCTGATTGGTGCACCAAAAACTAGTTTCCTGTACTGCAATTATGTTAAATAAGTGTTAAAATGACTAAAAAATTTTAATATAAAACTTGGAAAATTATTGAATAGTACAACCTTGATATTTACTCAAATGGGAACGAATTTAAGCCCTAGAACCGATTACTGTATTGGTGGACTAATATTCCAGCTGGTGAGCAAGCGAAAACATGTTGACATAATTTCGTAAAAATTTTGTTAACCGAATTTTTGTTCGTTAACCGAATTGAAGATTCTTATGGAAGGTAATTCGTTAACCGAGGCGTTCATTAACCGAGGGATCACTGTATGTTAATCTACACCATGAAGATGCCAGAAAACCAGTTCTTTGAAGTGAGGCAGATTGTATGAGGATGGAAGCTCAGAAAAAGGCAAAGCATTCCACACCGTGGCTGTATGAGGAAAATTTTTTATAAATTTGGTACATTACCTTTTGGGAGGGCAGTCTGGGCTCACCACAACGGGGTGATCAGGGGTGGGCTGAGTAAGGACCTTGCTCAGCAGGATCAGGGTTGTCCACTACATTGCTGCTGTCACTGCTGTCTGCCAGAGGTGGAAGGAGAGGAAGAAAATATGCTGGTAGGTGTAGGACTGGAAGCTGAAGATACAAGAAGTGGTTTAAAGGTGGTGATGGGTCTGAAGAAGAAGGATATGGTGGGTTGTCTTGCCATACTCCTCAGCTGTTGTTCAATTTCAGTGTAGACTCTGATGCCTCTCTCCATACTAGAGGCAATTGAACCACCCCTTCTTGATGATGAGGGTGGATAAGGGGGTGCCACATGAAGTTTGGTCTTCTATCCACAGCTGGAGAAGATACTCCCTTTTGTCCATCATGGCGTCACGACTACGGGTAAGCCTGCTTGCTCATATCTATGTGACGTTTCCAGCTACTTTCTTAATCTCGTCAGCATGTTTATAAATTGTGGCCACAGTTGAAGCAGCCAGACCAAGATCTTTCCCAATCTTGGTAGGGCCATCACCGTGTTCATGATGCTAAATTACTTCCATCTTTGTCTAGTATGGGTAGCCGAAGATTTAGTAGAACACTTGGTTGCCATAACGAAAGTAGTAACGAAAGTTGGCATGAATATACATACATGGATAAAGAGAGATCACTTCACACATACAACAAATAGTGGGAGGGAGGGAGGGTGTGATCAGTCAGCGAGAATATGTCTGCACATCTCTCCCCAAGATGGCCATGCCAGCTGACTCCCAGCGCGCAAAATTTTAAACTTTGCCCGGACCCAAATTCGTATAAACGGGCGAAGCTTTTGTATCTCGAAATAGTGGTGTCAATTTATGAAATTCGTATTAGCGAGTTTTCTTATCACGGATGTTTGTATCATGAGTGATACCTGTATCTACCCGAAAATTCGAGTTGAAAAATAACAATAACGCAGCTCACAGCTTGGTGGGAGGCTGAGGTACTGACCCTGCACCCTCTCCTGCTTCCCCCTTCCTCTCCCACAATTCTGGGGACATTAAGAAATTTTTATGTCATGAATTTTTTTTACCTTATATTTATTACATATTTGGGGGGGGGGGGCACATTCTTTATGAACGATTTTGTGTGTACATACAGAGTAAAAAAAAATGAATAAAATTATGTACGTATATCTACTCAAAATTGCAAGTTGAAAAATAATAAAGTATCTCACAGCTTGGCTGACTTCCCAATGCCACCCCCACCGGGTCCCATGATCCACACTAACTCCAGGGATGTATGAAATTTTTATTCTCTATGTTTTTTCCTTATACTATTTTTTTTTTTTTTTTACATTCTGTATGAAAGAGTGTATGTGCAGGTAACACTAAAAAAACAACAACAATGTACTTTATGTCTACCCTGCTCTGTGATAAGTCCCACAAACTTAAGAAATGTTTATTCCCTTTGTTTTTGATCATATAATATACTGTACTGTATATATTTTTTTGGCACATTCTGAATGAAAGATGGTGTGCATGTAACAATGTTAAGAAAAAAACGAAGAAAATTGCATCCCATATGTCTACCCGAAATTACTTGTACAGGTTGACAATCCCTTATCCGAAATCTTTGGGGCCAGAGGCATTTCGGATTTTGGAATTTTTCGGTTTTCAGAATGGATAATTTATTTATTTATTTATTTATATTTATTTATTTATTTATTTTATTTTTTTATAGCCTACCCTGCCACAAGTCACTGACCCACATTGGGGCCTGGGTGGCGAAAATATAATAAAAATTATAATAATAATAATAACAATTCATAGGTCTAGGTCGTGTTTCTCACTTTTTATCTTTTTTTCATTCTTGTAATGTATTTCTTTATTATTATTATTATTATTTTATTATGACAGTATTATTGTTATTATTATTATTAATTTTATTATTATATTTTATAATTATTATTATTATTATTATTATTATTGTTATTATTATT